AAAAACACAGGCCAATAATAAAATTGAAAGATTAATAAGTTATCAAAAATAAAGAATGAACACTTTTATATTTCTCACTTGTAAAGTAAATAATATAAATATATAATACAAACATATAATACAAACATATAAAACTCATTTTGAAACAAACTTAATAAGAGAAAAAATAAGCATAATATTATGTAAAAAAAGCTCACGTTATATCTTGTTTGAATTTTAATGAAGTGCAAAATTATAAATTATAAAATTTGAATGAACATAATTTGTAAAATATTTTCGAATAACTACAATTCAGTTCAAGAAAGTAGGTACTACAGATAATGTAATAACTGATAATATTATAATGTAATTATATTTTTATGCGTATAAAATCGATTAGCATAGGACATAATTCATATTATATACTTTGAATACTACGAATCTGTTTGGGATGATCGCTATTTATTAGTGATAATATGATAACATTATTTAATGACATAAATATATTTATGAGTTAAATCTGTAATAACTGTATTGCTTTGAACTTCATTTTGTAAATGATCGCATGAAAAATTGGGTAAATATCTTAGGTCACATGCATGATCAAATCAACAATTGTTACCTACCTTACGTTTTGCATATTTACATAATATTATGTACTTTATTTTCTAGAAATGTACAAAATAGTGCCCGTCTAAAAACTATTCTCATTTAAATTATACTTTATATTTTCAACTTCTCGATTAGTTAAGGTAATTATATAGATAAACTATCTTGACAGTTATGMATCGTAGATAAGCTAGAAAATTGGATACTTCATGTTGTGCTAAATAAGTAATATGCACTGAAAATTTCAGAAAAATATAATACATATACAACTAATATTTAATATCGAAATGTTTGTTGAGTTAAGTCACAATTACTCATATTTTAGTGTATTTTTTAATATAATAACTTTCGTATTTTTGGAAATACAATTTAATTATTGCAATAAGATATTATTTTATTAATTATACTGAGTACTGACTAACATCGGTTTGACAATTGTTTTTGACTTTTAGTGAGAAAGAGTTAGCCCTTA